GAGATTTGCAGACTGGTTACCACAGTAGAAAATTAGCACACAGTTCCCTGATCCCAAAGCCAGACCAGGGTGGGGTAAGGGGTAAGGGGCAATAGAAAGAGAGAGGGAGTAGAAATTTACTTAAACTCACCCACTAAAAACATTAGGAAAGGCAGATAAAAATTTAAGTGTGATGGGAACATCAGGGCCCTTATAACAGATCAAAGGTTAAAACCAAATTGTGAAAGGAAAGCTGAGCCAGGGGTTCACAGCCATCTCATGACAGGACATCTTCCTATGTCCAGACAGCTGCAAATGAAACTAGAGGGAAGTCCCCTGGATTGGGACCTCATCAGAATAGAGCCAGAAAGAAATTCTAGAGGAACCACTAGTAGCCCCCAAATCACTGAAACTCCCTCCCCCTCCCCTTCCCCCAAAAGAGGGGGAAGGGGCTGAGTGGACTGCGCTAGGAAGTACGCCTAGCCCACCACTCTGCAACCCAGGCAAAGGCAGGGAGTAAAAAGAAAAAACAGCAACAAGAACAAAAAAACTCTGTGTAGCATCCACTAACCCAGATAGTGACAAAGCAGCAAAGTAACTGTGGCTCTGAGCAGAGGAAAATGGATCCCTGAGGACCACAGCAGCACCAACCATGACATTGAGGGGAAGCACTGTTGAGAAGCCCAGGGACCATCCTCTTGACAGTCCATACCAGAGGGAAGCTTCAGACCCCAGAGCTCATAAACCAGAACTGGCCATGGGAGGGTCACAGAAAACAGGGAAGTGGCTCCTGTACCCCAGCAATCATGGGGGGATCCATGGCCAAAGGAGGATGCACACATTCTAAATGTCCAAACCCCAATGAAACCCAACCAAGATCCAACAGGAATTTTCTTCACCTGGCATGATTTTCTATAAATAACTCTAATATCAACATTGAACATATAAATAACTTTTTCACTTGAATGATTGTGGTTATGCTAATAGCCAAGATTCAACACAATTGACTGTATTTTATCTACTAGTTTAACTAGAATCAATCTTCCTATCCTTGTTTTCCTTGCTCTACTTTATAGTTGCTCCTTTTACCCTTTATATTCGTCCTCTTGTATTATCTGCTATTACCTCAAACACAAATACCACCCAATCTATTCCTCCTTCATTCCTTCCTTTCTTTTCTTTCATCTTTTTCCCCAATTTTTCCTCTTCCCCACTTTTAGCACTCATTTAAGATTATAGCAATTTTAGTAAATTGAAGAACTAAATTTGACCTATTCCAGAACTTCACTACAGCTTAGACCTGGATTTGAGAAGCCGTGGACAACAATGTCAACATTGTGTTTCCCATAAGGTTGAATAGCAGGAGGCTTGGTTCTGAGTGATTGTAGTAAACAGGGTTCGGTGGCATTTCTCAAAGTGGTGCTGATATTTGGATCAACAAAAGTTTCACTTTGACTTGAAGTACCAACATCTGGATATTCACCGAACCCAGGGCTCTTAAAAGAAAGAAGCTCACAAAGTAGTGAGCTATCACAACAGATGTGTAGACATACCAACAATATGAAAAGGCAAGGGAACAAACCATCCCAAAAGCCCATAATGCTTTAACAACTGATCCCATCAACACTGCAGTGGAGGAAATGTCAGAAGAATTAAAGAGTTAATAGTTAAAATGCTGGATGAGCTAAAAGAAGATATAAGGAGTGAAATTAAATATGGGAAGTAAAGGATCACTTGAATAAAGAGAGATTCTGAAAAAAAAAAAGCTGAATGGAAATCCTAGAAGTGAAAGACTCAATAAGCCACATTAAAATTTCAATGGAAAACACCACCAGCAGACTAGACCACTTTGAAGACAGGTTGGAGGCCTCAAAGACAAAGTAATTGATCTTGAAAATAAAGTGGACCATGAAGAAAGGATGTTCAGAGACCACGACCAAAGCAACATCACACTAACTACAGAGGAGCTGAAATGATTTCCTATAAGATTAGGAACAAAAGAACATGTATATTCAATATACTATTGGAAGTACTGGTCACAGAAATAAGAGGTAACAAGAAAATATAAGGCATCCAAACAGGAATGAAGGCGGTCTAAATATCCCTGTTTGCAAATGACATAATTTCATATGCATAAACTCCCCTCATTATAAACATCTGGGCTGCAGGCAGCCCCTGATTTCCAGTCTCCTGGCTTCTCAGGGCTCCCATCAAGCTGGCTGCACAAGGAGGTAACAGGAATAGATTCTCTAAAGACGAATGTTGGTGGAAAGGAAAGAGGTTATCCCAATGTTGCTAAAACCTAACAAATAAGCCACAAAGTACAGAAGACATGGGGATCTTTCGGCATAATGAAAATAACAGCAATAACCAGGTAGGACTGTTGCCAAGTACCAAGCTGTTATGAATATAATATATAATATATATTGTGCTGATGCAAAAACCAAATGCTCAGAATCAACTCTAAAACTGCAGAGCTCTCAGGATCAAGTTTATGTTTCAAAACTTTTAGTTCTTATTATAAATTTATTTCTTAAACTGTGGGGAAAACATGTGTCATAAAATTTAACCATCTTTACCATTTCTAAGTGTACTGTTCAATAAATATTAAAGACATTATTGTGCAGTAACCACCTCTGCCCACCTCCAGAACACTTTCTACTTGTAAAGCTGAAATTCCAAACCAACAGTGTACAAGGGTCCCCCCACTGATCCATAGCCATGCCAACACTTGTTCTCTAGACTTCTTGCCAAGAACCAGCCTAACAGGTGCTCAGTGACACCTCATTTTGGTTTTGAATCTGCATTCCCAGCCATTAGTGATGCTGAGCACCTTTTCATATCTGTTGGTAACCTGTCACTTCCTTTGGGAAAACGCCAAGGCAGGCCTTTTCCCCACTATTAGAGTCATTTTAACCCCTGTCAGATGTGCTTTGTAAATATTTCCCCCACTTTGGACATTGCCCTTTCATTTTATGGATGGATTCCTTTGCTTTTTGTAGCCCTGCTTGTTTAGTTTTCTTCTGTTGCCCCTCCTGTTGGTGTCATGTCCAAAAAATCATTGCTAATACCCATATCAAGAGATTTCCCCTCGGTTTTCTTCTGAGAGTTTCAGGACTTGTATTTAAGTCTGTCTTCCATTTCAAGTTCCTTTCTATGTATGGAACATAAAATAAGGGTCCAATTTCATCCTTCTGTGTGTAGGTGCCCAGTCTCTGCAGCACCATGTACTGAGGAGACTGTCCTTTCCCTCTCATGCACTTCTGTCCCCTTGTCAAACATGACTTGACCCCATGTGTGGGTTGAAGTCTGGGCTCTCAGCTCGGCTCTGCTGGACTATGTGCCTGGTTTTGTCCCAGTGCCATGCTGTCTTGATATCCTGGCTTTTCATAGTTGAAATCAGCAAGTGTGATGCCTTGGAATTATGTTCTCAATTCCCTTTGGGGTGTTACTTTCATATCCTGCAATTTTACTGAAATTATTAGTTCTAACACTTTTCTGTGTGACATCTTCAGGGTTTTCTACATATATGTTATGTTTTCTTTGAACAGACATACTTTTATTTCTTCCTTCCCCATTTGGATGCCTCAATTTCATTTTCTTTCCTTACATGCTTCTGTTATAGAACTTTCAATACTATATTGAATGGAAGGAGAAAAGCAGGCATCATGAACATTTTGCCAATTTTAACAAATAAGCTTTCAAGCTTTCACTCCTAATTATGGTGTTATCTGTGGCTTTTCATGTCATATCTTTATTGAGGTAGTTTCCTTCTAGTCCAACTTTATTAACTGTAAAGTTTTTCCCTTCATAAGATGGTGCTGAATCTTTTCAAATGCTTCTTCTGCTTTGGCAGAGATGATGATATTCCCCCTCTACTTCAGTCTGCTAATGTGGTATACTGATTGATGGTCACATGTTGAGCCATCGCCATGTTCCTAGAATAAATTATACTTGGTCATGTTATACAGTCACTTTAAAAAGCTGCTGAATTGCACGTGCTAGCATTGTGAACATTTCTGCACCAGGATTCATAAGGGATAATGATCTAGAGTTTCCTTCTCCTGTCAAATCTATGTCTGGCTTCAGTACCACGTTATTGCTGGCCTCTCGGAATACATAAGGTATGTTCTCTCTCCTTTGAATTTTGGAAAAGTTTGAAAAAGAAAGCTGGTAATGCTTATTTAAACTTTTTTAAAAAATATTTTTAGTTGTAGATGTACACAATACCTTTATTTTTTTGTAGTGCTGAGAATAGAACCCAGTGCCTCACATGTGCTAGGCAAGCACTCTGCTACTGAGCCACAATCCCAGCCCTTATTTAAACATTTGGTAGACTTCTTTAGTGAAGTTATCTGGTTCTGAACCATCCATGTGGTTCATTTGGTGTTCTTGTTTAGAACTTTCCATTGGAAAGTTGTTTTGGATTACTAATATCTTGTGAGTTTTATTTTTCATTTTTTTATGATTTCTCAAGATTAAGTCTTTAGAAGGTGGTATGCTTCTTGGAATTTCACATTCCATACCAGTTATTCAATTTGTTGGCATATACTTTTTCATAGTTTTCTCTAAAAAAGAGAAAAAAGTTTTTTGAGTCAAGGTCTCACTGACAGTGAACTCTTGGGCTCAAGTGATTTGTCTGCCTTAGATTCCTGAGTAGCTATGACTACAAGCATCCCCATTGTGCACAGCTAAATTTTTTATGAATGTAGATAGTAATGTTCTCATCTTCATCTCTGATTTTAGTAATCTGAGTCTTTCTTTTTACTATACACCCAGATAAAAGACTTTCATTTTTTTTATCTTTTTGAAAAACTAATTTGGATGTATCGAATTTGGAAGTTGCTTCATTTTTATGCATATTCACTATGCATTCAGAGATGTGAGATTTTAAAAATGGTACGCTCTAACAAAATGCTACAGTGAAATTTGGTAGAATATTAACAGATTAATTTATTCTTAGATGTCATCATAAAAATTGAATAAGTACATCATAGCATGGCAACTTCAAAATGTGAACCAAAGCCCTTTGTAAATATTTATGTGCTATAGATTATGGTACTATAGAAATTGAATGAATTGTTATATTCCTTTAAATATGCTCTCCAGGTATGCTTTGAAATAAATGACCCAATATATCCAATATACACTTATTATATTTCTTCTTTCACATCATTTGTTGGCATTTTAACAATTCCTGATGTAAAGGTTAAAAGTGCAATGGAGCAAGGAGTATTTCCATAGAAAATAGAAAGTTCCTTTTCTCTTGCAGATGCAAGGGTGAGATTTTGTCTGCTACAAAATTTGTTATGCCTAAGTGGTCCTGACAATGTTTAATTCCACAGGCCACAATATTCTGTCTCCTACAGTAGAGCCCAAATTTCACTGTGTTGCTATTGAATCCACTTAGAACATCTATGAAAAAAGCAGAAAAAGGGCTTTGATATGAAATAAAATTTTCATTGTAAGTTAGACTTCAGAGTATTTTTTTTCTAGAGAGATTTTAATTTGCATGAATCTGAAGGATATTATATGTATTTGCAAATTAGCTTTGTCTTTATTCAAATAATATAGTTTTTAAAAACTGAGGTGTTTGCTTTTTATTGTGCTGGATCAACATTCCAGAAACTTCATATTCATTTACTCATTAATTGCATTGTCCAATATTTATTGCTATAAATGTGCCTTGAATATGTTGGTTACAATACAGTTAAAAATCAAAATGGGTACTTAATGGTTATTTAGTACGTGGCTTCAAACATACATTGATTCTCATTATTTAATAATATACAGTAATCTATATATTCATGTCCACTAACTATTAAGCATTGTCTCATTTCTATCTATTATAAAGAATTTAATTTATATTGCTCTTTTCTATATTTGGGGATATGTTGTTATTTTTTAATTTGTTCTAATTATTTATACATTATGGTAGAATGCATTTTGACACATCATACAAAGATGGAATAAACTCATTTTTCTGGTTGTACATGACAGTTACACCAATTCTGTAATCATATATGCATATAGGTAATACTGTTGCTGTTTTTAATAAGCTTCATTTGTTGGAGAAGTTTTAGGTGCATATCAAATTGGGTAGAGATTTCCTGTACATCTCCTGGCTACCACAGGCTCCCTGTTATCCACATTCCCCCACCAAAGTGATATGTTTCTTACAATGAACAAATACGAATTGATTTATTTTTTATCAAACAATGAAAGATTTTATTCTTGTGTATTACTAGTGAAAATTTAGACTTCATGAGTGATATAAATTCCATATTTCTTTTTGTTGTTCCTAATTATAAATGGGCTTATAAATTTATGAGGTAATTTCTAATGGTTTTGGAAAGGCATTGAAATATTACTGTCAAGAAGATGAAAAACATTTAACAGCTCATGTGTCAGTTTTTATTACTAACTGAAGCATAAGTGACTGTTATCTGTTTATTTCAAGGGTCAATGTCAGTGGGCCACAGGGGTCTCACATATTTAGAAAACCTGATTTGGGGTGTGATTGTAATGAGAGAAATATGTAAATCAGTAGATCAAGAAAAGTACTACCCATCGGGAATGGGCCTCATCCAAGCAGTTGAAGAACTGGATAAAGCAAAACACTGAGTAAGAGTGAACTGTTCCTGCCCAGTTGCCTTTGAGCCATGACATGGGTTTCATTTGCCTTCAGATGTGAACTTGAACATTAGTTTTGTGGGTATCAACCAACCACCTTCTCACCTCAACTACACTATAGGCTTTCTTGTGTTCAGGCCTTTAGGATCAGGCTGGAATTCCACCACAGGCTCTCCTGAGACACCAGCTTGAGGACTACAGAACTTGGGACTCATCTGCTTTCAAGATCACATGAGCCAGTCCAGGGTCAGTTTCTCTTCCTGTTGGGACACACCATAGTGTCCCAGGGACACAGACTTGCTAGCTCTGGGCAAGGCCTTCTCTTCTGGGAATCTGTCCCATAGCCAGAGGCACCATCCTCCTCCCTCCCTCACAGGACAGTTCTTACAGGCACCTTGTACCTCACAGGGTGCAAATTCAACCTGTCTGGAGACAGCCCATCTGTGTGTTGCTACAGCCCCCTACCATGCACCCAAGTGACCAACTCAAGCAAGCACACTGGGAAACCTACTTTTCAATTCAAATTATGTCCCAATCCTGGATGGAGGGTCTTCTGGTAAACAATGGCAACTCCTACTTCAATGCACCTTTCACATCCCCTAGTGATTTCTATGGGTTGTGCCCCATAGAAGCACTTCTTAAATAGACCAGCTTTCCTTTGCCCCCCTGCCTCACAATTAGGGCAGGCAACTAAGCCTGACTCCCATCAGTCAGCATGAAAACCAAATACAGAGCAAACACCATGGAATTCAACCCACAAAGTTGATCTGTTTTTACCTTTTCTTGATTTCACTGCGTGCATGCGGCAGCCACCCAGAAACCAACCACCTCTTTGCTTGACAATCACTAGCTGTTCAAAGGGAAGAGTCCAAGTGGGATAGAATCCAGCAGTTCCACAGGTTTCTCTAAAGTCAGTCCTAGGGAAAAGACCAAACTGCTCAGGAATGTCAACTAACTCTGCATCTCCTAGTAGGTTTCTGCACAAGCCTTTTCATTTATTACCAACCCTCCCCATTACAGCATGTCTCCAACATCACCTAAGACATCATATATATTTTGTGTTTCAGGGATATTTTTTGTTCTTCAGTTACAGGGGCATTTTCAACTAATGAAAGTTATCATGGTCAAAGTTTTATCAGTCATCACTGGGAGGTGCTCACAGGTTTTTGTGCAAGCCCCTGGTTACACTTTCCCCAGCACAATGTTATAAAGGATCTGTCCATTCCAGTGCTCCAGCTTCTAGCCTATGCTCTTCAAATCCCATTCCCTGTGTGGACTCAAGCAATCATCATGTGCAAATGTCTAAGATTGTACTACTAGAGATAAGAGGAACATATCTTAAGATCATAAAAGCTATCTGTGCTAAGTCCCAGGACAACATCATTCTAAATGAAAAAAAATTAAAAGCATTCACTCTAAAAACTGGAACAAGAAAGGGATGCCCTCTTTCACTACTTCTATTTAACATAGTTCTTGAAACACTTTCCAGAGTAATTAAACAGATGAAAGAAATTAAAGGAATACAGATAGAAAAAGAAGAACTCAAATTAGCACTATTTGTCAATGATATGATTCTGTAGCTAGAAGACCCAAAAAATTCCAACATAAAATTTCTAGAATGAGTAAATGAATTCAGCAAAGTAGCAAGATACAAAATCAACACCCATAAATCAAAGGCATTTCTGTACATCAGTGACAAATTCTCTGAAAGGGAAACAAGGAAAACTATGCCATTTACAGTAGCCTCAAAAAAATAAAATAGTTGGAAATCAACCTAACAAAAGAGGTTAAAGTCCTCTACAACAAACTAGAATATATAAAGATCTTTTTTGTTCTTGGATAGGCAGAATTAATATTGTCAAAATGACCATACCACCATATTTAATGCAATTAATCCCAGTGGCATTCTTCATAGAAATAGGAAAAGCAATCATAAAGTTCATCTGGAAAAATAACAGACCCAGAAAAGCTAAAGCAATCCTTAGCAAGAAGAGTAAAGCAGGTGGCATCACAATACCAGACCTTAAACTATACTACAGAGCAATAGGAACAAAAACAGCGTGATACTGGCACCAAAATAGACTGGTAGAGCAATGGAAAATAATCGAGGACACAGAAACTAACCCACAAAATTACAATTATCTTAAATTAGATTAAGGTGCCAAAAACATACATTGGAGAAAAGACAGCTTCTTCAACAAATGCTGCTAGGAAAATTGGAAATCCATATGCAACAAAATGAAATTAAACCCCTATCTCTCACCATGCCCCAAACTCAACTCAAAGTGGATCAAGGACCTGGTAATTAACCAGAGACCCTGTGTCTAATAGAAGAAAAAATAGGTCCAAATCTCATTAATGTTGGATTAGGCCCTGACTTCCTTAATAAAACTCCCATAGAGCAAGAATTTAAATCAATAAATGGGATGATGGGCTGGGATTGTGACTCAGTGGTAAGAGCGCTTGCCTAGCATGCATGAGGCACTGGGTCTAATCCTCAGAACCACATTAAAAAAAATAAAGATATTGTGTTTATCTAAAACTAAGAAACAAATATTTTAAAAATAAAATGGGATGGATTCAAACTAAAAAGCTTCTTCTCAGCAAAAGAAATAACCTCAGCTCAGGAAGCTCATTCCCTGCTGAGGCAAGGAGGAGGCCAAGGGGAATGCTGGGTCCTTCTCAACTGCCCATTAGTATTTCAAGGTTACGTTTTTCTGGAAGCACCTGTTCTAGCCTTACCTGCCACTTGGGTTCTGTGAGACTTCAAACAACTCATGAGATTTCCACTGCTAACTTACCCCAGGAGCTGGATGGCTTCAGTGCACTATCAAGAAGCTACAAGTCTTGGGCTGGGGATGTGGCTCAAGCAGTAGTGCGCTTGCCTGGCATGCGTGCAGCCCAGGTTCGATCCTCAGCACCACATACAAACAAAGATGTTGTGTCCACTGAAAACTAAAAAATAAATATTAAAATTCTCTCTCTCTCTCTCTTAAAAAAAAAAGAAGCTACAAGTCTTGAACATCTGAGGACTGAAAAGTGTCTCACTGTTGCAGCTCTGAAAAAGAATGGGAGGAAACCGGCATTGGACTCCTCTACTCCTCAACTTTCAGTGTCATGCATAGTTGCTTCCTTACTGATCCACTGGACTTGGGAACATTGATAGCTTACTGACAGACACATGGTTATTATTTCTGTTCATTCTTTTCGTGTTTGGAAGTATTCATGATCCTTATAACTGAAAAAAATGTATTGGTATGATGAAATTCATGCAGTTTACAACTGGGTAAGTTAAATTCATTACAAATCTCATCATAATTCATCCTTCCTACGTCCTTGTTGGAAAAATGTGCTGTGGCAGAATCCCTCAAGTAGTATACCCAGATAAAAAGGTCCCGAATTATCAGAACTTGCAGAGGTCACAGAAATTATACACTGGAAGTGAGATACTGAGGAGTAAATGTCAATAGTCCCCTAGCAGGGACACACCTAGCAATTCACACTGCATGCTCTTGTTTTCACCAGCTAACTGTTACAGCTTGAAGTCTTATGAGTTATCATAGAACATCTATAATTTGACATCAAAATTTGTTTATTTAAATTTTTATTTGGCATTCCCAGCTTATTTTCCATGAGGCAAAGTTAATTTGCATCTCATGGCGTTCTTAAATGTTCCAGTATATTATGGTTTAGATTTTAGGAGTCCCCCAAAAGCTCATGAGTAAGAGAACACAAGAAAGTTTTCAGGTAAAAACATTTGGTTAGGACAGCCTTAAAACAATCAGTGCATTAATCACATCACAGTGATTATTACCAGAGTGATGACTATAGACAGGTAGACTATGACTAGAAAAGGTGGGTCATCTGGGAGGGGAATGCCTTTGGTATACATTTTGTGAGCTGAGCTTATTCTCTCTATGCTTTCTGATCATGTCCTGAGACACTTTTTCAACTGCACTCTTCCAACGTGATGTTCTGCCTCACCTTAACCCCCAGAGAAATAGAGCCAGCTGTGTATGGAATGAGACCTCTGCAACTATGATATTCTCAAACAAAAAAAAAATTTTCCTCTAATTTTTGGTCATAGCAATGAAAAAGCTAAAATTCACCAGTTCCTTCTTATCAAAGATTTCACTTTCCCATGAGTGAATAATAATATGAAAATATAATCTACTGTCATGTATATCTAAGAAGAATAGAAAATAATTTCATTTTCTATGTTTTCACTCACCCACAAATTACCTGAGTAATTCAAAGTCACAGATATAAACAATGTTTACATTTTAAATTGCTCACCATTCTGAATGAATGATGAAATCCGGCAATATCATTCTCTGTCCTGACCATGAAGTGAATCATATCTTCGTTCAATGGATTCATGCTCTATAGGCTACCCACCCATCAGTACCTTGATAACCATCTGGCCATGAGCTAAACTGGGGAGAACTGCACATGCTTATAGATAGGGGTCAGTATTATCTGTAGTTTCAGCCACCCCACTGGGGATCTTGGAACAGATCCTCCAGGATAAGGGGGTCTACTGTATTCCTCAAATTACATACTTTAATTAGTATTAAAGTATGAGCTCTCCATACTTTAATTAGTATTTGAAGTCTTTCTCTTGGAACCAAAACAAAATTGGAACATGACTTTCTTTGAGGAAAATTTCTTTTTCATAGGTTTCTCTGATACCTCTCAGCTGTGGAGACACAGGGTTATCTCATTTCTACTTTTCCACATAATCCACTTCCTCTGCTGTGTTCCCTGAAACTGTCTTGCCTTTTGCCCCATTCTCAACTCTGTGGAGAAGGGCATTCACTCACATCTCTCCCTCTTCCTGATAAGCTACACACCACACTGGAATGTCTCCTTCAGTTCACTCTCCATGACCCCAGAAGATGGCTCTAGCATCAGTTCTGACTTTCATCCTGGGGTTCATTTGATTGAGTCTGTTCACACCTGTGTTCATCAGAGGACAGCATAAAGATAATTGGACAGTGATTATGGGTTCATTCTGACTTCTGCTTAATGGGATTCTACTGGCATGTTCTAGTGTCTGGAAGTACAAGAGACTCACTTGATTGTGGCAGAGATGTACAGTTTGGAGAATGCTCAAGGATTAGGAGAGACTGGGATTTCCCCATCTGTGTGGCACTAGAAGACACAGTCATTGTAATCAAAACATTTCCCCCCAAAATTAACAACATTGATCATATGCTCATATACATGAAATAACATATGAAAATAATATAAAGTAACCAAGTTATTTTATGTAATATACATTAGATATATCGTACCAGTTGAAGAAATTTCCTACACTAAAATCAAATCCTTTTGACAAACAAATTAGAAATTTTCTACAACACATAAATATGGGCTGATATTTTTAGGAAAAAGTAGAGGAAGTCAAATAGGCTTTCCAATAACAAAATAATTTCCAAAATTAAATCTTCATTCCATATTAGAAGGCCTTTACTTACAAGAAAATACAAGAATGTTTGAAAAAAAACTGTTACAACACATGAATATACTTTCCAAATTAGAAAATGAATAAGGAAAAATGTAAATAAAAATTAATAATGCAGGATACAAGGATGAAATTTTCAATGATCTGGGGAGATAAACATGATTTTTTAAAATATACTTTTCTAGATGTTGATTGGCACAATAACATTATTTATTTATTTGTATTGTGCTGCTAAGGTCAAATCCAGTGCCTCACATGTGCTATACAAGCACTCTACCACTGAGAACAACCCCAGTCTACAACTTTTTTTTTACATAACAAATTTTTAAAGAATGTTACATTGATCCTAATTTCCCCCATTTCAATGAAGATATCTAAAATTAAAGTATTCAGATATTGAATAATAAAAAAGAAACTTTTAATTCAACAAACATCTCATGCAAAAATCTCCACCACTGGATTTTGTATTAAATTCTATAGACATTTCATATAAATGGACTTTAGCATCATAAAATATTAATAGTTGTTATTAAAGAGCCACCATCATTTTGGGGATCTTCTAAAAGTGATTGACAAATTTTGCTTAGTGAAATACCCACACTTGGAAGTCACTTTAACATATTATTTCTAAACATCACCACCAGTCACAGATGGGTCCTGTGAAAGATGAATTAGTTAGTGTAAATTAATGTAAAATTATTTAAAGTCTTCACTGGTCATGAGCAATGATCAAATATGACAATTCTCTCAGTAGAAAATGAGAACTAGTAAGTATCTTTTTAAACATATTATTTGCTTTCATAAAACCCAGGAAAGTAAACTTGTAACTGAATTCCAGTTTTGATATAAATACAATATTGAAACCAAAAATTAATGTCATGAGTTTTACTTGACCCCCTTTCAATTCGCCATTTGTTTTTCACCTGCTTTAACCTGAGGGTTAAAAACACTAGTTAATTATAAAAATATATGGGTCAACATCCCATATATTTTTATAATTATAAAAATTATAAAAGGGCCTTCCTTACCCCTCACCCAGGAAAGTCCTGTGTCCCCAGCTCATCAGTACAGCTAGAGGGCTTGGTCCATTCTATTCCCTTTCTCTGTATGTGTCCTGGGAATTTCTCCACCAAACCTGCATCTGCATAAAACCTCACCTCCCTCCTCTGCTATGACGAGCCTCCACCTGCAATAAATGGGTCATTTTGTCCAAGTCCTGCTGAAATACAGTGTGAGGAAGGAAAGAACAAACCTTTGGGAATGGACTACTTAAGAGAACTTCCTCGGGCAGCAGCGAACAAAAGCGCCTTCCTCAGGCATCAGAGCCTCCAAAAGACCTTCTCCTCAGCAAAGATGAGGCTCCCTCCACCCAAACGGAGGACAAGCTTCCAGGGCTGGGTACTGAATAAACCTGGCCCAGGCTACACAGGCCTGTGCACCATCTGGGGCAGAAAGCAGAATTCGTTGCCCTCTAGTGGCCCTAGGCACTCAGGGCAGGATCTTTGCCTTCATTGTGCAAGTTAACCTTGTGCTCCCTGGTGGCCTCCTGCTGATTCACTGGTAGAAAATTGGACTTTTTCATCTAGGTTATTCACTATCTTATATTGTTCAGAGTATTCTCTTGGGATGCCTTTTCTTCCTGTAAGGCAGAATGACCCCATATTCAAATCTTATAAACCCCATGTTCAAATCTTATAGTTTAGGTCATACCTTTTGTTCTTGTTGCTTCAAGGTGAAGGTGGTCAATTTTTCTCTTTTTTAAAATCAACTTTGGATTTTATGAATTCTACCTTTTTCTATTTTCTAGTTCATTTTTTCCTTTTTTTTTTTTTTGGTTTTGGGAATGAACCCAGGAGTAGTTAACCACTGAGACACATCTCCAGTCCTTTTTTAATATTTTTATTTAGAGTCAGGGTCTTGCTAATTTCCTTAGGATCTTGCTAATTTGATGAGGCTGAATTTGAACTCATGATTCTCCCCAGCTGCAGAGATTTACAGGCATGTGTCATGGCATACAATCATTATTTTCATTTTTAGTCTTTCTTATTTCCTTCTTTCATCTAACATTGTGTTTAGTTTATAATTTTTCTAGTTTATTATCCTGTAATTAGATTACTATCATGAAGAAAATGCAGAGTCCTACAAGCAAAGAAGATAGAAAACATCTTTCACCATTAGGAAAAAGCAACTAAAAATCACAATGAGAATCAAAGGACATAGGGGAGGACTGTAGTCCCAGATATTCAGAATGCTTAGACTGAAGGATTGTTGGGGCCTAAGAGTAAGAGAGGAGACTGCACAACATAGCAAGACCCCATCTCAACACATAAACACACACACACACACACACACACACACACACACACACACACTTAGATCATACACACCTGTAAATGTAGTTCAAATGAAAATAGTCTCCAACCTCTGCTGCTGAAGAGGAAGAGACAGGACCACTCGTACATTGCTAGTGGGGATGTAATTATTAGAGCCACTGGGAAGCAGTTTCTTCAAAAAAAAAAATTCATGCTATTCTTTTGATCTTGAATGTCCTCCAATGGCCCATGAGATGAAGGGTTGGTCCCCAGCATGTGGTCCTGACAGTAGCTGGTGGAAGTTTTAAGAGGTGAGGCCTAGTGGAAGGAAGTTTGCCATTAGTAACATGCCTTTGGGGGGTATATTGGAACTTCAGCCCCTTATGTCCCCTTGTGAGCAGCAACCAATACTATGATATATGCAGAGGCCTCAAAGCCACAGGACCACCAAGCACAGACTTAAACCATGAGCTGAAATAAACCTTCCCTCCTTTTAAGCTGATCATTTCAGGTATTTGGGCACAGTAATGGGAAGCCAACCAACAATGCAAATACCATTAGATGTGTCAACTGCACATCTGAGAATTTATACAGAGAAATGAAGACTTTAGTGATCACATGCTCAAATTTTTTCAGTTTTCATATAGCTGCCTTATTTGTAACACCAAGAACTGAATTCATCCCAAATGACCTTTTGGAGATAGCAAGACAAGAAACAAAAACTGTGCCACATTCTACACACTGACAACTACTCTGTCATGAAAACTGGTATCTACAACAATTTGTATGTATCACTAGAAGAGTGATACATACAAATGTTATCACTCATCGTTCCTGAGTGAATGATGCTAATCACAAAATAGCAAATACTATGATTGATTTGATTTTTGTAAAATTCATGAAATTCTAGTAATGGGGGAACATAATAGTGGTTACCAGCAGGAAAAAGCACAGAAAGGAGGAGAAAAGTTTGTTTGGCTACAAGAAACCACTTGTGGACTCCTTTTAGTGATGGAAACAATGTACATCCTCACTAGTATTGATGTAATCTTCTTAGTTGTGATATCAAATTGTGGTTTTGCAAGATGTTACCATTGAGGAAAACTTGAGTACAAGGAACTATGTCCTGGGAATTTCTCCCCAGAAACCTATAGCTGTCTTACTTGTGACACCATGAACTCCCTTTTACAAATGCATACAAAATAAGATATATACTTAGATACAGAAACAACTGAAATATCTACCAGTCAATATTTATTTATGATGTCTCTTACATATATCCATGAAATAGTCTCAAGAACAAGACAAAAATAATTAGGGAAGTATACTTATATTGGATTTCTGTGTTTTATTTCACTCTTTAAATAATCACCAAGTTAAATTAGTTTCATGCAAAGCAAAAACTTTTATTCACTATGATTCTACAAAAAATAAAATGCTAAAAATACAATAGCATAAATTGAGAATACTCACAGGGAAACTGAATAACTCAATACACCATTGGTGGGAATATAAACTGATATACCACTTTGGGAAACAGTTGAAGATGTTCTTAAAAGCAGAATGCAAAGCCAGGAATGTGGTGTGCACCTGTAATCCCAGCTATTTAGGCAGATGAGGCAGGAGGATCACAAGTTTCAGGCCATCCTGGCCAATGTAGCAAGACCTTGTCTCAAAATAAAATGAAAAAGGACAGGAGATGTGGCTCAGTTCTCCAGCACTCACCTAACATGTCAGAGGCCCTGGCTTCAATCCCCAGTACCAAAAACAAAGTAAAAAGTTGAACATGTATCTACCCATATGACCAGGTATTAAATAAAGGGAAATAAAAGTGTAAGTGCTTACAATGTCTTTTTCATAATGTCCATAGCAATTTCTTTCAAATATGCACACAAACACAGGAAACACTGCAGACATCCATTAGGAGAAGAATGTATGAACAAACTGTAAACTACTATGCACTGCCATGAGAGGCTGAAGTGCAGATGTAGGAAAAGCATCGAAAAACCTGAAAATAGTTACCAGAGGTGACACAAAAGTAGTGCATAGTCTATGGTTATATAAAAAATGCAAATTAATCAAAAATGATAGAAAGAAGCAGCATACAGGCTTACCTTGCTCCCTGATATTCTTCAGGGAAATTCTGTCCTCCTGTCCTCGGAATGAAGAATTTAGCCATGGATGCATCAGGGCCTGAGGGGACAACAATACTGTTAACTTCTGGAGCAGAGAGGAAACCCAGGTCACCATGCTTTATAAATTATGCAGACAGGTACAAAAAAATGTGTGTGCACACTTACAATGACAGTATCCAAAATAATGCATTTCTACTCAGAAATATAGAAAGCACCCTAAAAATCCTCTTATGAAAAAGAAAATGAAAGACAGCACAAAGGGGCAGTGTGACTTACCAGGCACCCCAGAATCTGAACAGTTATGTTTCCCTGGGACCTTTCCACAGAAACCTAATTTTACAAATCTTTTCACCCCACCTATGCCCTCACCAAATTCTGTCACCCTTGTCACTAAGCTCCTAACAAAATTAATCCTCTTTGCTCTGGGTGAGGTCACAGGGTGTCTGCACAGGCTCTGGGATTTCCTAAAGGGGCAAAAAAGGGCCAACTATCTGTGTGAATGTCAGACACCTGTGTGGAGGTCCAGGCAGAGGCTGGACTCTTGACAAGGCACTTGGTACTCAGAAGGTAGTAAACACAGGTTGCAGGAGGGACGGACACACACAAATTCCATGAGATTTGGGGGCTTCAGCAGCAGCAATGCACATGGCACCCAGAAGAGAAGCTCCCTCATGAGCAAGTGAACAGACAACCCCAGCCAGAGCAAAAAAGGAGATTGCGCCAGGACAGGAACAGCATCTCCAGAAGAAGCAATGGTCAAAACTGTTTTGGACTCCTTTTTAACATTTGTCCAGTTTCTTCTGTCTTGATAATTTTCTGGGGCCAGAAACTTTAAAAAATTTTTTTTCTCTCTTAATGTATTTGAAACCTTTTCCTAGGAGGCCTCTTTTAGGACCTGGCCCTGAGGTGTTGTGAGGAAGAAGAAAGCAGCCTGGACCTCCAGGAGTTGGCCTATCTGTCAGTGGGGACTGCTGTTGCCAGGACCACGTTTGACACTCACAGCCTGGCCCTAAAATCCTAGTGAAGCACAAGCAATTTCATGGAGCATCAACATGCACCAAATTCAACGTGAAATGAGTAATCAGGACCAAAAATAAAGTCTGATCTCTAACCATGTCTGAACACAGATGAAAGGTGAATATAGATTAATTCACAGAAGTGCAGATGTAGGAAAAGCATCGAAAAACCTGAAAATAGTTACCAGAGGTGACACAAAAGTAGTGCATAGTCTATGGTTAGACTTAAGTGACTGCTGCTTTGCCCCCAATTAACATTCACCTCCCTCCAGTCTTCCCTTTTCTGCATAAGATGTAAGAAGATCACCACCAATAGAATTCCCTGCTTCCTGACAGCATCCACTCTAGAAGAGAGCTCCTCTATCCTTAAAATGTCCCTCAAGTTCCAAATCTTTGTAACACCCCTTACCAAAAGTGATCCCAGTATCCCCCTACTGTTTTCCCTGACTGCTATGAGGACTTCATCTAAGTGGTGTTAAACACAGTCATGTTCTTTGGTTTGGTTTTGGTTTTGTCTGCAGGGCCTGCACAGGATGCATGAAAACAGACTGAGATCTCAATGCAGGATGATGAATTTTGCCAGGGAAATTGAGGTATGCAGTTATTCAATGTAGTGAGAACTTAGCTGAACCTAACAAGTGAGAAGCAGCCTTGGCCACATAAAAAATAGGTTCATTTCAGAGAAAAAGTTCTCAGTCAGGGCCAGGGATCAAGGGCTAGAGCAGGTCCACAGAGGGAGATGAGAACAGCCCCCACTTGGTGCACCAGGCTGTCAAGAGAGAGGAGCCAGAGCCAGGAAAGGCCCCCAGAGCAGCTCTCCTCTGCAGGCTAGCAATTCCCCTCAAGGGTGCAGTGGCTATTCCCACTGGAAAGATTGCTCTGTGTATGGACTGACCCTGCCCTACCCGGCACACATCCAGTGGGGTCCAGCCACTGTGATCATGAGAACCAAGCTTGATATTGTTAACACACGCACAAGGTGTGGGGACAATGTTCTCACAGAGATCACATGTTCAGATCTGCAAGGTCACAAAGATAGATGGGACACCGCAGGGCCACGCTCTGCTTTGCCCCTTCTGTTTCTAAGAGTCTCTGGAGAGGCTTCTCGGGATATGGGGAAGAGGAAGGATGTCACAGAAGGTGCTGAGGACCCTAGATCCCTAATTCTGCCTTCAACGAAATAAATCCACTGGTAAATGATTTCTTTGGAAAATGCTCCAGGGCTATGGGGGCGGGGTGGGGTGGGGATGCTAAATACAAATCCATCGACTCAAAACAGAACCCAGAGTCCTGAAATCAGGGTACAACGGATCAGTGAGGGTGTTTCAGGAGAATTCAGGAAACCCTAGCCTGAGGAACCTGACTCTGAGGACAGAGGAGGAGCCAGACCCGACGGGGACAAGAGGTGAATTGGGCAAGCCTGAGTGACCAGGCACTAAGAGGGAGGGTCCCCTCCCCAGCCTCCTGCAAGACCTCTGGCACTCACTGGGGCTGGACAGCAGCACCTGGCTCCAGGGCGCTCCTGCGGTGCTCACCAGGCACTGACAAGACGCTGACTGAGCCCAGGGCTGGGGAACTGCCACACAGCGAGTCCTCAACGGCTCTCTGCGCGCGCGTGCAGGTCCGTTACCAGCCTCAGCCAATCAGCGCTCAGCCCCACCGGCTGGACCAATAGCAGTTCCTTTTGCTCCCCATTCAAAATAGTGGGCGTGGAGCGTGGATGCGCGACTTCTCAGGCCAGAGCAGAGCCAGGGAGGAAGGGGAGAGTTCAGGGAAGGTCCCATGATCAGGGCTTTCCTCAGCTCTTCTACTCTTTGGGACTGAGATGGGATCTTCAGAGACCCCTCATGGCTGGGGATGGCTCACCTTCAACTCTCTCCCTGAGTTACTAAAGTAAAATTCACGTGTAATAGTCACCCTCTGTCCCTTTTGAAGGGTACAACCCAGTGTGATTTAGTAAACTTGTAACTTTGGAAAACCTTCACCACCATCTAGTCAAGAATGTCCTCACCATCCCCAATGGAAACCTCGTTCCCATCCAGCTGCCATCCCCACTCCCCACACCAAGTCACTGCTAATCACTAATCTGCTTGCTGTCTCTACAGCTTGGCCTATTCTGGAGATTTCATATAAATGAACCCATGCAATATATGGCCCCTGTGCCTCTCTTTGCATGATGGTTCCAAGGTTCATCCATGTTGTAGCATCTGTCACATCCTCTTCCTTTTAGGGCTGGATAATATTCCATAATATGAATTCAACCATCCATCAGTTCATTGTTACCTGCCATGTCTATGTGAAGTGTGCTGCCATGAACAAGTATGTATGAATAGCCATTTTAATACTTTTTAAATTATTTTTTAAGTTGTAGTTGGACACAATACCTTTACTTTACTTATTTATTTTTATGTGGTGCTCAGGATTGAACCCAGGGCCTCATATGTACTAGGTGAGCCCTGTACCACTGAGCCACAACCACAGTCCTATTTTAATACTTAAAAAATATATTTTGTTTATTTATTTTTTTAACATGGTGCTGAGGATCAAATCCAGGTGCTCTGCCACTAAGCCAGAATCCCAGCCCCACATTTTAATACTCTTTATACATGCACATAGAAGTTGAATTGCCAGGTCTAAGGTAATTATAGATTTGACTTGTTGAGGATCACATAGATGAAGCATTTTACGATTCTCCAGGCATGTATGAGGGTTCTGATTTCTCCACATTTCTGCCAACACTAGTTAATTTATGGGTTTCTTTTTCTTTTTTACTCCAGCCATCTTAGTGGGTGGGAATGGTATTTCATTATGGTTTTCATTTCCCTATTGATGGGAACATCTTTTCACCAGTTGTTGGCCATTTTATATCTTCTTTGGAGAAATGTCTAGTTCAGTCATTTGTCCATTTTTAGTTGCGTTGTCTATTCTTTGTTAAGAGTCCCCCCCTCTCTCAGTGCATATAAACTCAATATTTTATTGTCTTCATAATAAAATACAAGGTAAAGCTAAGAACTGTAACACTTGCTTGCTCATTTCTTATCCTCTTCTGTTCAAAATACTTGCATCTCGTGGGAGCCAGCATTCTCTGAGACCTGCAGCTGGGCTCGGCACAATCTTTCAGTCTTCTTTGTAGTGTTAACCTTGTCCCAGAAAATCAGTGTGGTCTGTCCAAAATAGCCACTCTGTTTCCTGTCACAACATGGTTTTCTTGTGCACACAGAGAATTCTTGCCCTTCTCATGTGTCACTTCATGGGTTGGTGCTTGTCACACTTACTGGAAGTCTGGAGGGGCTTGGGAATGTTCACCATGTCTGTGGAAGCACTACTGATATGGAAAGCAAGAGTTCTTCACACATTGTGAATACCATGCCCTTAGCTAGATGACTGGCTATCAAATTCTCCTGTTCTATAGGTTTCTTCTCACCTTCCTTGATAGTATGCCTTAATGCACAAAATTTTCATTTTCATGAGAATTTGCTTTTTCTTCTACTGCTTGTGCCTTTTTTTGTCAGATCTGACACAAACTTGTCAAAACCTCAGTCAAGATGTATGCCTGTGTTTTTTTCTAAGAGATTTATCACTTAAGACATTCCATTTAGGTTTTTGATCCACTTTGTATTGATTTATTGTATTAGGTGAGGCAAGGTTCCCCAAACCTTATCTTGCACATGGAAACCTATTTCCTCAGCAACATTTATTAAAGACACTATTCTTTCTCTTGTGAACACTCTTGGAATATTCTTGGAAATATCAATGCAATGTAGATATTTGTGTCTGTTTCTGTACTCTAAATTCTATTCCATAGATCTGTAGGCCTATGTTTCTACCCATACTGCACTATTTTGAATACAAAGCGACTTTGTCACTTTTTAGTAAGCTTTGAAATTGAGAAGTTTCTTCTTCATTGTCAATACTTTTTTTGTTACTTGAGTTCCTATGCAATTGTATAGAAATTGGTGGATTAGATTTTCCATGTTTTGCATGACATGACCATTGGAATACTGATGGGGATTTTATTAAATACATAGATTTTGGGGAAAAGTGGCACATTTTTAACATTGCCTTCTAAAACAGAAAAACACAGCATGGCCCCATTTATGGAGGTCATCTTTAAGGTCTTTCAGCAATGATCTGTTGTTTCAGTGTAAAAATCTTAAGCCCCCTTTGTTAAATTCATTTTTAAGTATTTGATTCTTTGATGATGCTCTATATTGTATTCTTCTAAGTTTTCTTTCAGACCATGCCACTGGACCAGCGCTGGCTTCATGAAAGAAGGTTCGGTTCATAAGAAATTACTAGGGAGTTTTAAATTAAAGAGACAGACTCTCACTACCTTTAATACCAGCTCCAAGACGGCTTCTCCTAGCTCCCTCCTCCAGCCACCTAATGTGGTGTCGAGGTTTACAGAAGAGACTAGAGAGAGAGGGAGAACACGCCAGGGAGTGAGCTTTTATTGGGGAACAAAAAATTCCAGGGAAAAACCCATCCAATGAAGGTTAAGGGGGGCAGCATCCCAAGGTCAAGGGAGACGATTGGGTCTTTAGGTCAGTGGCTAGGCATGCCTCTGCATGGACAAGCCCTCAGACCTGGGAAAGAATAGGGAAGGCTTTAACACTGCTGTGTCTAAGCGCCTCTCACCCAGTCAGGGAGGTAACTCAAATCATGAGCGAGGATGGCATCCCACAAGACCATTTGTTGACAGTCTACAAAAATACAACTGATAAATTTGTGTTGGTCGTGTGTCCTGCCAGTTTGCTGAATTTGTTTATTAGCTCTTTGTTCTTTCCTGGACTCCTAAGGATTTTCTATGTATTAGACTGCATCACCTGTGAGCAGAGGTAATTTGACTCCTTCTTTTCCAATTTGGATAACGTTGACTTCTTTTTCTTGCCCAACTCTTCTTTTTTTTTTTGGAACCTGTGGGGAGAGCTTGCAGTCATCATCCCTGTGGGCAACATGAGCTGTGCATTTTTCATCAGTGACTTTGATCAGATTGGGGAAACTCCTCCTGATCTGTAGAGTGTCTTTATTCTAAAAGTGTGCTGGATTTAGTGAAATCCTTTTTCGGCAATGAGACAATCTGTTTGACCTCATTATGTTTTGGTGCTGTGTGCATGGGTTGACTTCTGCACAGGAAGCCATCCTGGCTTGCCTTTGACGGATCCCACCTTTTCCTCCTCTGCAATCCTTTTAAAGTGTTACTCAATTCATTTTACAGGGATCCTGTTAAGGATTTTCACATTCAGATTCACAGGGGATGTCAATCTGTGCTTCACTTTTCCTGTAATGTCCTCTTCTTTCTTTGATTTCAGAGTAATACTGGCATCAGAGAATGATTCAAGAAGTTCTCCCACCACTTATGTATTTTTATAAAATTGGAGAGGAACCAGTGTTACTGCTCCTTCAACTATTTTTTAAAAGGCACCATTGAAGGCAAATGGTATTGAGTTTTTCAACATGTGAGACTTTTTATTTCTAATTTATTCTCTTCTGCTTCTGTTCAGATTTCTTCTTCCTCTTCCTCCCCCTCCTCCCCTTTCCCCTCCTTCTTCCCCCCTCCTTCTTCTTTTTCCCCCCAGGCTTTCTTGCCTTGAATGTGTGCAAGGGCTGGGAACAATGTCCTGCAGATGTGCCTGGAAAGCACCATGTCTCAGGCTCTGCAGGGGCAGAGGGGTGGGTACGTGGCCCATCAGATAGGGGGCCTTGGCAAGAAGAGTCCTACAAGGTTACAGACCCCACATCAGGCCTGCTAAGGCTGCTAAGGCTGCAGTAGCCCCAGGTGTAACCTGAGGGAAGGGCAGGCCTGAGAGCCTGGGCAGAGCCAGCACCACACTACCCCCTGGTGGCCTCAGCAAGCACACTCCCCCAGACAGAGGTGAATGACCTGGACCTTAATTTCCCTGCAGGTGAAGGGCATGTACCACCTACTCCAGGGCCTTCACCAGGGCCTCATTGGCCTTGATGCGGATTTGGATCTCTGCCTGAGTGGTCTGCTGCTCCGACAGCTACAACTGGGCCTTCTTCATGTTGGCTCTGGCAGCCCACAGGTCCAGCATATCAGTGTCCACTGAGGAATCAGCATTAACTGTGATAAAACCATTGCTCACAAAGTTTTTAGTAGTACTGCCATCATCTGCGTGGCCCACCACCAGCCCTGGCTACAGGACCTGCAGGGTGGGCACATGGGCTGCCAGTATGCCAAAGGCTCCAGTCAGTGTGGGCACTTCCACCAGCTGGACATGGGCACCATGGAAGGACACCTGCATCAGGGAGGCTAGGTGAATGATATCTGGCTGCACCACCAATCTCCTCTTTCTTCTTGAATTGGTCTTTGGTAGTGTGTTTCTAGAAACGTGTCTGTTTCACCTAGGTAATCTAATTTCCTAAGGGCAACCAACAAGAGCACATGGCCAGACACAGTCTTGCCCAAGAATGACCACAGCGGCTTGATGTTTAAGGGGCAAAGCTGGAGAGAATGCAAAGATGAAGGAACAGATGAGTGGAGAAACACAAGTAATTGCAGGCAGTGGCTGAAGGATTGCTGTATCCCAAGTTCCAGAGACCATGGCCTCGGGACTCCCTGCACTGAGAGCAGCGGG